AGCATTATCCTAACGGGGTATTTATCCTATAGAAGAGAAGGCTCAGAGGGGGCGCCACGGAGCGGATGTGGGATACCTCTGGATCCGTGCCTGAACAGCTTTTCTAACAGTTTCAGTTGATCAGAGATAGGGGACAGATAGCCTTGGGCTGTGGTGAGCTTCTTGTCCCCGGGAGCATTCTAGGCAAGGCTGGGTGAGAACTTGGCAGAGAGAAATGGATTTCCTCTGGAGACACTAAGAATTTGGTAGGGAAATTATATTCAAATATTTTCATGCCTCCAAGCTTTGATCCCCGCACAGCCGACTGGCTCCTTGGGGCCCAGGTGCTCGCTTCTGTCTTTACCACTGCCTAGGCCTGGGCATACAGTGCGTCAGTGAGTGGGTGACCCGAGTGCCACCTTGAGGGGAGGAAACCCTGCCTGGGCCTCGCTGCCCTTGTGGGGCCTGGTTATTTCTGCCCTGGCGCAAAGGATCTGCCGGCCACCCCTCCCCGCCGCCAGGAGCTGAAGACTGACAAATTCCTTCCCGAAAGAGGGGACACCGAGAGGGGAGCCAGCCCAGCAGCATCCCCTGTGGCCTTGTGCCTCTCCCCGCTCCGGGCCCGGCATAAACACCTCCAGAGTGGGCAGCCCTGGGTCCCTGGCCCGGATGGTAGGATTTGTTGCTTCCGAACGGGCCACCCCACTGCTTGGGGTGACAGGTTGCCCTCTGCCCTTTCTCCAAGCTGTGACCCTGGGCTGAGGTTGGCCTCCGGGCTCTCTTCCGTGGCTTTGGGGGCCTGGACCCTTGCCTGGCTTCCCGTCAGCTCTGACCTCTGCTGACCCTTCTGCGGAGGGCGTCCTGCCCAGCTCCTCCGTCTCCAGTGTCACCTATTTCAGGACCCGGCACAGCTGGGTGCACTGAGGGGGTGGTTATTTTGGAGCTTGCTGGAGGCCTGCAGCTGCTCCTGACCCCGAGGGGTGGCCTGGCTGGGAGAGAAGACATACTTGGGCTGGGCACTGGCCCCGGGGATTCCATTTTTAGCTGTTTCCCAGGATCTGCTGTACCTTTTCTCTCTACTCCTCCAAGATTTCAAGCAAGGCCAAGGGGTCATTTTCCTGCCCCTCCTCCTCTCTCCCCACCCCTTGCTGTTTCTCCTTCCTTCACTTCTTTCTCCTCTAATCTCCGCTTTGTACCTTCTCCTTCCTGGTCCTCAGTCAGGGATGCCATTCATGACCGATGTGAAGTCCTACAGTCAGGTGCAGAACGTTCATTGCCTGGTGCAGGGGGACCTGACTTCGGTTGACAAACAACCCGAGTAAGCACTGGTACCTGAAGTTATCAAGTACCTAGGTCCCAGGGGCCCCCCGACCTGCCTCTGACCCCCACGTCACCATCACAACACAGTTGTGATTACCCCCATTCTCTAGCTGAGTGACCTGAGGCTGGGAGGAAAGTTGATTCAAGTGCTGGCTTGGACATTTAAACCCAGGCCTGTATCACCCCAGAGCCCATGCACTTTCTTCTGAGCCCCAGGGCATGTAAACAATATCAGTGGGTCCTATTAACCTCGTGATTATTATGGGCCAGGTACTCTCCAGGTGCCCTCTGTAGCTTACTACATTTGGACTTCACAGCATCCCTTCTGAGTGGAGTATTAGAATACAGATTTTATGCACCTCAGTAAATGCTGATTTCATGGCTGAAGAAGAGAGGCCCAGAGAGGTTAAGCTATTTATCTAAGGTGATATGGCCAGGAAATGGTGCAGCCAGCATTTCAACCCAGGCTGATGACTTCAAAATCCTTACACTTAACTATGCTTCTGTCCTGCCTACCAGTATATGGATTTGGGTTACTAAAAAACCCCAAATACCCTTAGGTTACATTATGAGAGTTATAGTGTAAATATCAAGGGAGGTGGTGGCCACACTGTGCCTTGAGCTGGTCAGGGAACATCTGGAGTACTGAGTCTGGTTCTGTTTATTGTCCAGGAGGTGGGAAGGTGTGTGGTGGGTCTGAGTATTCCCTGAGGGGAGTTCTTTTCTCCACAGGGCTACCCCAGAGGTAGTATTGGCACAGAAGGACATTGAAGCTGCGAAGTTACATAAATCTATCCAAGATATCCTTGGATACAGGGAGGGAGATTTCAGTCTAAGAGAAGGAACCACTGTCTTAGAGGAGTTCAGCAGTGGCTCGGGTTGCCTGGGAGGCCCAGTAGTGGGCTTATTCAAGTACAGAAAGACCCTTGAAGGGACAGAGCTCAAGGGAGCGCACATCCAGCCCCATTCAGAAGTCTGTGCTGATGGTCTGCCCAGCTCCATGGGCCCTGGGCTGATTGTCCGGAGTGTGTGTGGGGTGGGGAGAGGAGTGTGGGGGTATATATGTGTGCGAGCTGTGTTCCGGGCTTCTTCCCGTAGGCTCTGGCTGGGCATCTCTGAACCTTTTGTTTTCTAGTCACCCTGCTGTCACTGCTCCTTCCTCTCCATCTCCAACCCTGGAGTCCTCTAAGGCCAGTGCCTGCAATCCCTGAGGGGTGGAGAGCAGGGGCTGTTCCTTGGCGGCCCAGGTCTGCCCATAGCCTCTCCCAGGTCCCCACGACTGTCTCTCAGGCCTCCTCCTCCTGTTTGGGCCTCCTTGCTTCTGCCTCTCTGCAGCCCCCAGCCTCTCTGCACCATCGCTCTCACAGAGTCAATTCCCTGGAATAATTGCGTTTTCCGGTTGGCTCCCTTCTTCTTGCCAAGCACGATGCTGGGAAATCCCAACCAGCCAGGCCCCAAGAGGCTTCTCCAGAGAGGGCACGGGGTTTGGGGGAAGGGCCCAGCACCCTCTCCTTGCTGAGACCCAAACAACACTGTTCCTGGAAGGGGCAGGGAGAGAACGAGAGCAAGGAGGCTTTAGAAACTGTCTCTAGATTCAGTGGGAGCTGAGTTCTGGCTTCAGCTGCCCATATCAGTCCAGTCCTCCAAGCTTTGCTTCCACATCGAGCACCCCAGCCATCCTTACCCAGGTCCTGGAGGGAAAGCAGATTCTCCCTTGTGGAGGCTCAGAGAAAAGGCTCCCAGGGAGGGATTGGCTCATGATGTGGTCTACAATAGCACTAGCCAAATTTGGGGACTATAACTCCCACAGAGGGGAGTTAAATAATAAATAAGGAGGGCCTGAAAGCGAAGAATGTAGTGTCAGGAGTTGGACATACCTTGCTTCTGTCTCGGATCTGCCACTTGGTGGCTGTCACATCACATCTCTCAGCTTTATCTCCATAATGGGAACACTTCCATGGGATGTTTTAAGGATGAAATACGGGGTAATTCATCATGCATGATGACTTTTATTATAGATAGGACTCCATAAAGTAGGGACATAACACAGCCATTACAAAAATATGGTGTTGGAAACATGGTTATTGGCATGAAAAGGTGTTCAGGACATATTGGAAAAGCTAGTTTTGAAAAGGAAATCTGTATAGCAGGGTTCTTAGCCTGGAGTCCATGCCCATGGATGGCTTTATGGGATTCACAGATGTCCTGAAATTATCCACAGAATTTAGGAAGAATGGGTGTTTTTCTGAGGACATAGGTCAAGGTTATCACATTTTCAAAGGGATTTGTTACCCATAAAAGGTTAAAAACTACTGGAGTTTACATAGCATGATTCGGTTTTTGTATTAGAAAAAGTAACAGGAATATATTGGGGAAAAAAGCTGGAAGGTCCTCACCCAAGTATTAAGAATATTTTTCTCCAGATGGTGGGCCGAGAGGTGATTTTTTTTGTTTGTTTGTTTAACGGTCTTTTCTACAAAATAGTCTTACTTGTATGATTAAGAAGAGAAAGGGGTTGATTTCCAGTTAAGTCACTTTCAAAAGGAAATCCTGGATAAATTTACTTAAGTTCTTTCAGCCTCAGTGTCCTTCTGTGGCAATGATAACTCAAGAGATAATTGTTAGGGTAAGATGAGACCATTTATGCAAAGAGTTTTTCTGGGGAAGGGGGTTCCCTCTGACTTTCCAGAGGGGTAGAATGTCCACAGTGCTTTCAACTAATATTTACTGCTGTCGACTCAAGTCCTCGGGGATCAAAAGGGAGTTAAGTTAATAATAACAATAAAAAAACTTTTATAAGCGTGCCATGTAGAAGGAATGTTTTTAATTTTGGTGCCCTTCCTTCCAGCCTTGATCCTTTGCTTAAACAAACAGATGTCCTGCGTACTTTGTTTCCCGACCCTGCCCCTGAGCCTCCGTCCTAAGCCTCTTCCATGCTGTTCACGATGCCTTCGGTATTTCCCGGTGCAGACTGGAAAGGCGGGCGGGAGGAAGCGCGCTGGCCCAGCGGGGCCCGCGTGACGGTCGCCCTGTCTCTCCCCCTCCCTGGCCGCAGACAGCGAGCTGATGCTCCCGGACTGCCTGCGGCCGCGCTCCTTCACCGCCCTGCGGCGGCCGTCACTGCGGCGCGACGCCGACGAGGCGCGCCTCTCCGTGAGCCTGTGCGACCTCAACGTGCCGGCCGCCGACGGCGACGACGCCGCGCCGGCCGCCGGCTGCCCCATCCCGCAGAACTCGCTCAACTCGCAGCACAGCCGCGCGCTGCCCGCGCAGCTCGACGGCGACCTGCGTTTCCACGCGCTGCGCGCCGGGGCGCACGTGCGGATCCTGGACGAGCAGACCGTGGCGCGCCTGGAGCACGGGCGCGACGAGCGCGCGCTCGTCTTCACCAGCCGGCCCGTGCGCGTGGCCGAGACCATCTTCGTCAAGGTCACGCGCTCGGGCGGCGCGCGGCCCGGCGCGCTCTCCTTCGGCGTCACCACGTGCGACCCCGGCACGCTGCGGCCCGCGGACCTGCCCTTCAGTCCCGAGGCCCTGGTGGACCGCAAGGAGTTCTGGGCCGTGTGCCGCGTGCCCGGGCCCCTGCACAGCGGCGACATCCTGGGCCTGGTGGTCAACACCGACGGCGAGCTGCACCTCAGCCACAACGGCGCCGCGGCGGGCATGCAGCTGTGCGTGGACGCCACGCAGCCGCTCTGGATGCTCTTCGGCCTGCACGGAGCCGTCACGCAGATCCGCATCCTCGGTGAGTGCCTCCCCCGAGCGCCCCTCCCACAGCCCAGCCCCTGCTCCGGGGGAATCGGGGAAAGGAAAGAGGGCGAGTGCGCCCCGCCCGCCCCACTGCCTCGCGCGCGCGGGTCTTGCCACCGAGTCACAGGCACCGAAACGAGGTGTGGGCCGGACTCCATCGGCTAGGCCTTGCCTCCAGTCCTCCCAGACGCATCCTGGGGGCGGGCAGAAAAGTGTGGATCACCGAGTTTCACTCTCAGAATCTGATTAACCCACTTCCCCACAGATGCATAAACAGCCCAGGGGCCACTTAAAAATGAGAAAAAAGGTTTCCACCAGCAATTAACTTTCTGAGGCTCAGTTTCCGTTTCTCCAAAATGGGAATTAAAGTCTCTGCCTCTTAAGGATGACTGTGTGTCTAGATAAGAAAAAGAGTTTGGTATGGTAGCCAGGTGTTTGTGCAGTGTGGTGCCTGGGTTGGGAGCCTATAGGGGATCTCTGAGCAGAGGGCCTTGGAGGAAATGGGGTTGCAGAGGTCTGGGCCTTTCTTTCCTGGGTTTGAATGGACAGAGTTTGAATGGACTGGTGGATGTGGACTTGTGAAAGTTGTTTCTCAGAGTATTCTGTGAGGAAAAGTGGGGGATTCTTTACTGCAGAACTTCTCAGACCCTTTAATATGCAATGTGAATCTTTAAGGAGGGGGGTGGAGGTGGTTATGATGTACAGCTTTTTCTAAACTAATTTGACCAGAAATCTTTTTTTTTCACAAAGCATCTCCAGGGACCTCTTTCCCCAGAGTGCACAGGTTTCATACTTTGTAAGAGCTGACCTTCTAAGCAGGTGCAGTAGACTGGGCTAATTCCATTAGAGTCATTAGGAGGACCTGGTACAGACTTTTGAATCCCACCTGCAGAGATTTTGATCCTGTAGATGTTGGATAAGTCCTGGGCATCTGATTTTTGTTTTGTTTTGTTTTAAGATTTTATTTTTAGAGGGGGGGGGGGAGAGAATCCCAAGCAGGCTCCCGATGCAGGGCTTGATCTCACAACTCTGAGATTATGACCTGAGCTGAAATCAAGAATCGATGGCGTAACCCACTGAGCCACCCAGGCACCCGTCTGAAATCTTTATTTAAGCAGGTTTGCTTAGGCAGGTGTGGAGACCTCTGGGCTTCATAGCCCCATCCTAGACCTCACCCCAGGAGACTTTGTAGACAGGGTAATGTGTGTATGTAAGTGAATATGTGTTATGCTCTAAGATGGGTATGTCTGTGTATAGGCACACATGAGTAACTGCATGCATATTTGTGTGTATAATGGTGGTGGTGGTTGTGTGTTAGAGTTTGTGAAATCTGATAAAATAAGTGGGGACTTCCTACTCTGGAAAGAGACCAAATGAAGACGGAGTGAAAAAAAAATATCTGAAAAGGAACGAGAAGAAATGAGGCAAGATGCTAAGAAGTTATGATTGAGGGAAGATAAATCAGGAAGGAATGAAAAGAAATCAGGAAGGAAAGAAGTTGGGGTGAAAATTCAGGATGGGATAAAAAGAAATCAGACTGGGGGTGCAGAAGAAATTCAGGCTGAGGTTAAAAAAAAAAAATACTTGGCTACACTCACTGGGAGACACTGCTCCTCAGATGAAGGAAGTTGTATAAGGGGAGGGTACGATCCTGCCTCAGCACCATCTAATAATAGATAAGTAGCTTTCCACTGAGACTTCTGTTCCCCAAAGAAGCTTACTAGACACAGGGGAAGCTTTAAAAAAAATCAGGACTTAAATGTAAGTGGGCCAAGGTGGGTGTTTAAGAATAATCATCCACATATATGCTAAACAATGTATGCCAAACATAGTGTACCTGCGCTGTAGGAGAACTGGGCATCTTGGTCAGCAAATTGGTGTTTGGGGATCCTGATGGACTGCAAAGGAAAAACAAACCAGTGACAGTGTGTGAGGGGTAATTATTTACCTTACAGAGGAGTGCTGTGCTTCGTGAAAGGCCTAAATGAACTAAGAATGGAAGGATATTTCCTTTACTCCAAAACCATCGCTAGTTTCATACTTAATGACAAAACATGAGAAACATTCTCATTAAAGTCAGGAATATGATAGGGGGATGCCTTAAGTATTGTTCTGAAAATACTAGCCAGTGCAATAAGGCAAGAAAACGAAATAGGTGTGAATTTCTGAAAGAAGATGCTAATTAACTTGAAAACTGTTAACACCAGAGAAACCTTGTGGATATCTAATGCATATTCTTAGAAACAGTGACTATTGATTGACTTATAACACCTGATGATAAAAGGATTTCATTGAGCATTTATGTGTAGGGCAGTATGTTAGAGCCTTGGGAGAGTCACAGGTGAATACCATTTCCTGCTCTCAGGAAGCTCATAGTTCACCTGGGAAAGCAAAGCTGCATACCTGGGCAAAGAACAAATAATACCCCAGCTCTGTGGTTTAGGCCCATGTATGTGGTGTGTGTGTCCAGTCAGTGCTAAATAAAGTAATGTGGTTTGTGGGGGTGGTCAAAGCTGCCCAGAGGAGGGGGTTTGAGGACAGCCCCAAGGGGCTCCCTGGACAGTTAGCTCTTTGGGGGCAAGGGCTCTGTCGGTCTTGTTCTCAGTGTTATGTTTACACAGTGGATGGTACCTGGTAGGTACCTGGTACCTTGTTGAAGGGAGAAGCAAGGAGGGGAGGAAGAAGAGAGGAAGGTGAGGAGAGGAGTGGAAGAGGGAGAGAAGAGAGGGAGGGGAGGAAGGAGGGAGAGAATGTAGCACAGAATGAGCTTGGGAGATGCTGAAGGCCTCCGAAAGGTGCTATTGCAGAGGAGATGGTGGGTGGTATCTGGGGGCAGTGACGGAGAGAGCACAGGGCTTGGAACAGGAGGGCCATGCTAGGTGGGAGGAGGGGGACTTTGTTCTCTGGCATGGGAAACCTTGAAGGTGAGGATGCGTAGGAAGGGTGGAGGTGGGATTCTAGGCAGAGGGCTTGTTTGGAGACTGCTGATGCAGGAACACCAGAGCAGGAAGTCGCCCTCCCGTTGGTCGGTGGAAACAGCGGGGACAGGGCGCTGGGCCACCCGATGGGGTCCTGCCCTGAGCCCGGCCAGCGGCTGGGCTGTTTGGTCGTGCTGTGTCAGCACTTTCCTGGGAGCCTCTAGGAGGGGCGGAGACTTGAGCTTCCTCCCTGTAGGCCGCTCGGTGGCTAGGCCTCTTGGTGGCTAGTGCGTCGCTCCCTCCCCTCCCGCAGGTTCCACCATCCTGGCAGAGCGGGGCATCCCGTCACTCTCGTGCTCCCCTGCCTCCACGCCAACCTCGCCCAGTGCCCTGGGTAGCCGCCTCTCTGACCCCCTGCTCAGCACGTGCAGCTCCGGACCTCTGGGGAGCTCTGCTGGTGGTAAGTAGGCTGGCCGCTCGGGTTCCGCGGTGTCCGCGGCGGCCTCCCCACCCCAAGACCCCCTGGCTGAGGCAGCCGTGCAGCCTCTGGGTCAGAGCTGGGCGCTGGAGGACCTGGAGGCAGGCTCAGTGAACCCTTGTTGCGTGTGATTTCTGGGGTGAATCCCACCCTGTCCCCCAGCCGGGCACCTTTCTCCAGAGCACTTTTTAGCACACGGGGAAGACCAAAGGATAGCTCAGAAGAGGCCTTCCTTAAAAGACTCTGGGCCCCTCCCTTCCTCCCCCCCCCTTCTCTCACTGCCTCGTGGGCACCCTGGCCCCTCATCGGGTGCCTCCTAGTGCCCAGGAAGTGGGTCGTCAAGGGAAACAGGCAGACCCCAGTCAGTGGAGTGAGAGACCAGAGGGCTTTCTTCCCATGACCCTGGAGCCAGGCTGGGCCATGTCTCTGCTGACTGGTGTCCCCTTGTCCCCAGGGACGGCCCCCAACTCCCCAGTGAGCCTGCCTGAGTCGCCGGTGGCCCCGGGCACAGGACAGTGGAGCGATGAGTGCACCATTTGCTATGAGCACGCAGTGGACACGGTCATCTACACGTGTGGCCACATGTGCCTCTGCTACGGCTGTGGCCTGCGCCTCAAGAAGGCCCTGCACGCCTGCTGCCCCATCTGCCGCCGCCCCATCAAGGACATTATCAAGACCTACCGCAGCTCCTAGCCTGTGGTGCCCCACCCTGCATGCCTGCCTCCTCAGGCTCGGGCCCCGCTCCAGCCGAGGGGCAAGCCCACAGGGCCCCTTCTCTTCTTCCTCATTTTGGAAACTCTTCCCTTCTTCATTAAACACGGGAAACTGAGGCCCTCGAAGGTTTGGGAAGAAAGGGAGTATAAGGCAGGGAGGTGAGGGGGCAGAAACAAATTGCCCAGCAGAGGGAGGGGGGGAGGAGTCCGCTCTCCTCCTGTCTTTCCCTTCTCTGCACCCACTCTACCGTGCATGCCGAGGGGCTAAACGGGGGTCTCAGCCTATCCTAATCCTTCCCCATCTGGGGCAGATTGCTAGGCAGTCCTCTGGTCCATGTGAAAAGTAGACAACATGTCCCTTCCTCTGGGCAGATGTGTCCCTGAGCTAGGGCCTTCGGAGTATGGCCTGGACTTCAGTCTCCATTTGTTCTCTCAGCCAGCCATCCTGGAGCAGTGTACAACCTGCTCGACAGCAGCCCTAGGCAGGTAGCCCCTGAGCTGCTGCCTTACTCTGACCTGTACCCACCTTCTCCTTCCTCTCTTCCCTGCCCCTCAGGCCTGGCAACCAGGCGTAAGGCTGGTGGATACCTCTCACCCTGGGCAGGCGGCAGCCCCCATGCCTTGTCCCTCTCCCACTCACCCAGGACGCGTGGATGGACAGGCCACAGAAGGCTGCAGGTTCTGGGTCTCTGACCCTGTGCCCTGGCTGAGATGCAGAGGGCCCCTTCCTGGCCATAGCCTTTCTGCCCCAGTCATCTCGCTAGATGCTGCTGCCCAGGGACAGCCTCGGTGTGGGCTGGAGAGCAGTGTCCGTCTTCTGGAAGGTTCTCTAAGAGCAGGTTTGCATCTGTGCTCTGAGACCTGTCCTCCTGGATCTCAGTGCTGTCGGGGGCCTGGCTGATACTCAGACTGTGGTATCCCCAGGCGAGGCCAGGACCCTGGAGTGGGGGTGGGGTACCCTGGGGGTAAAATCAGCCTTTTTTCTTATTTTTATTTATTTATTTATTTGGTTTGTGGGTTGTTTTTTTGGGGGGGGATTGAATTGCCATCCCCCGGGGCCCCTAGAAATGCTGCCCCGGTGCGCGGCGTGCCCGGCGAGAGGGCTGCAGAAGTAGTTCTCACTCAAAATCTTCCCCAGGCTCCAGCCCAAAGTCCATAGCCATCTCTGCTTACCGTGAATTAGAACGCCATAAAAAGAGGCTGAATTGGGAGGCTTCCTGTCAAATTGTATCCATTTTACAGAGAGAGAAACTGAGCCTCCTTAGTGTCCTGGGACTGGTGGATGACCCGGAGCCACAAAGTGCCCTTGCTCTCTGGGCTGCTGCAGGGTCATCACAGTTGGCTCAAAGACGTCAGGAGGTTGAGGAGCACCCCCTTCCATGAGGACATACAAAGTTCTGGGAAGGCTGGAGGAGGGGAGCCCCGCTTGGGCCAGGGAACGGGGGTGGGAAGGCCTACTCATAGTAGGGGTGGGGAGGCTGTTCTTAGTAAGGCTCTTTCCCCTCAGGAAAGATGAGGAGGGAAGGGACCGGCTCCTGGCACCTCTGGGTTATTTCTGGGTCCGGGGTGGCATGCCCCCCCGCCCCTGCTCTTAGGCTGCAGTTGTCCCAGCCTTGCCTGCCCTACCCTGATAGGCCATGGGCTGGCGCCCGCTCTCAACAATCTTGGCCTGGTCTTCCCCCCAGCCTCCCAACCCTCTGCCCCCTCCGATGGCTTTTCACGTCCATCAGAGACTGCTGCTCCCTGTGGCTGGCAGAGTGAGATTCTGGACCTGGCCACTGGGCGGCTGTGTGGCCCTGGCCGGGTCATAGCCCTTCTCAGCCTCAGCTGCCACCTCTGTAAAAGGACTGTGTGGGGAGGAGAGCAGACTTTGTGCGACTCTTGGGACTTCTTTGATGATGGGCTGCTGTGGGGTGTTGGGTGGGACAGCACTGGGGGTCAGAAGGCCAGGCTGGGCCTTTGTCGGCCCCTGCCTTGCAGAGGGCCTCCAGGAAGTCATGGTTCCACAGTGGGTCTCCACTCCCCAGTCCCGGACCCTGAAGACCCCTTCCATGGGAGTAGGGTCAGGGGGAGGGGGAGGTGGTGGCCCCATCTCGTCAGGAGTCTCATGTCAGAGGCAAGGGAAGGTCTTAAGTGCAGCGGCTGTGGGGCCTGAGGTTTGGGGCGAGGAAGCCATCCGTACTACTGTCTCTGTTAGTGCTGGGATAGTTGCTGCCTCCTTTGTGAACTTGGGTCGCTGTGATTGTGAATAAAGGTGATTTCGTACCAGCCTGAGGGCTGTGCTGTGTGGAGGGCTGGGGAGGGAGGACCGAGGTGGGGTTGGGGGGTGAAGGTGAAGGGTCAGGTGTCAACAGTCAGGGGAGACTCCCTGGAGTGGGGGGGCGGGAGCACGACCTGGGGCTTGGACAGCAGGGGCCAGAATGCCAGGTGAGAAAGGGAGAAGCCACTGCCCTGTGGTGCCCTCAAATCCCTGGATCCCTGCCGAGCAGTGTTTATTGGGGCAGGAGCAGAGTCCCTGAGGCCTGCTCAGCTCTATATGAAGGCGGAGGTGGGCCCAAACTTGGCTCCAAACCCTTGTGGGGTGGCACTGCCCTCTAGGGGCTCATGGGAGGATGATAAACCCGTCACACAGGTCAGGAGGGGTGAGGGCAGCACAGAAAAGGGAGGGCTCTGGCCCGGGGCCTTTAGAGAAACCTAGATGTGCTGAGTCTATCTGGTTGGCAGTAGAAGCTGGGAGTGGTGGAGCGAGTCTAGGCACAGCGTGGGAATCATGCTCATTTGGTGGGGCTGGGACTCCAGCACAGAGCATGCCTGCCTTCCTGCCCTCTCCCCTGGGAAGATGCTCTGGTCCCTACAGCAGGACAGCCCAGCCCTGTTTACTGGAGTCCAGCAAAAGCAGGGGAGCATCCGGGGCTCCAAGCTGAGGGGCCAGCCAGGCCTGCTGGATGTGGGTCTTTTGCCCCAAAATCTGCATTTCTCTCTCTCAAAGCCTTGGCAACTGCCCAGAAAGCTTCCTGTAGGTGGGGAAGGGGAGAATTGGGGGAAGGGAGGAGAAACTTGAGCATGGCTCTCACCAGCAAAAGTGGCAACTTACCTGCCTCCCCCCGCCCCTCCAGGGTCCTCAGAGGGGCCCCGGATCCTGCGTTCTGGATAAGGTGCCTTTTGCTATGCAGCTGGATGGCTTTTCTGATGGCAGGGAGAATTAAGAGGTGATTCTGTTCAGTTAAAAAGGCCAAAAACTTTATTTAGTTTTCAGGGAAATACAAGATGTAAACATAAACAAAATATAAAACAAAACAACCCAAATCTTACAGTCTAGAAGCATGCCAAGACAGAGTATTTTCTGCAGACCAAAGAGTCCCGTCAGCATGATAAAGGACACCTGGAAAGTGGCAGGCCAAGGGGCTGGGTCCCTTCCCCAAGGACACTGCATTTTTGTGATGAGAACAATTAAAAAAAAAACCCCACTATTAAAAATATTAGAAACATGGAGATAGTTTAGCACCACCATTGATCCTGGAAATTTTTTTAGCACTCAAACTGTCCTTGAGTTTCTCTGCTAAGGGCAGAAGAGGGCACAACCTCCTCCTGACCCCACAGAGCCTGCTAGGAGCTGGGAGGGGTTAAGTGGACACCATGAGGAATCCCCCAAAGCTCTGGAGCCCCAAAGACATCCAGCAGTTCACAGGCAACCATGCGCTCCCCAAACCACACTTGAGGGACCTGCCACTCACATCTTCACTCAGAAGTCACCTTCCTGCAGACCTCTCAGGAACTGTCATTGAAACCCTTTTCCCAGCCTATGTCCTGGATTTAAAGAAAATCTGTTGCAGAGAACAAGTTGCAGATCCAAGAATCGTGGCTCTGTTTACCCTTCTCTCTCCGAAGTAGGTGCTTATGGAAAGGTGCCCTGGTGATGGGCCACCGAAAATGAAAGGGCATGTCCGTGGATGAGTGTGTGTGGCCCCGTCTTCTGAGTCACACCTGCGCGGCTGGCTCAGCAGACTGAGTTGCCACAGGTCTCAGTAGAGATACTCAAGAACAACTGGTGTCAACAGAAGAAGAAATGAGGCTGCTTCCCTCCCAGACATGCTTGGTGGTGTCTGGACCCTGAGGTTCCAGTTTGGGGGTCGTGGGTCATTACTGTACAACCCATTACGGTCACTGGTCTCTAACCAATTCCAGCAATTTGAGAGGCTAGCTCTGGATTAGACAAAGGGATGTGGGCAAAACATGCTGGGAACCTGAGAGATGGAGGAATGTTCTGGAGCCAGAGCCCCCAGACTCAAAGATGGGTTTGTTGCTAGCAACTTCCCATCCCCACTAAGTAAATCCGTGACTACTCATTAACAACATGCTGGGGACTCAGGTTGTGGCCCAGCAAGTAGCTGTTTCCTCGGGTCAGCTGCTTCTGTGGCCAAATCTTAGGGCTTTTCCAACCTGCTCTGACTGGACCCTTGGGTGTTGCATCAGTAAATTCCCTCTGTACCTGTTCTCTTCCTCCTGAAACACTCAGAATTGACTTCTTCCTTCTTTTGAATAAAGACTAAACTCCAGCCTCCAGACCCTCTCTCCGCCTTCTCACACTTTTCCCTTTCTGCCTAGAAGACATCCTCTTCTGGAAGCCACCTTCCCAGGGAGGGGACGGTAAGCCCCAGCCACTCCAAACATGCACACACTCCTCACGCCAACGTGCCTCTTGCTTGCCTCCAACGTGCTCGAGCCATCCTTCCGCCTTAAAACAATTCTCTCTCACACACACTCTCTCTCCTCTCGCTTCCTGAGGTCCAACCCTTAGCCAGGGTGGAACTGGAAACAAAGGAGGGAACCTTCACCTCAGAAATCCATTCCCTAAGGCCACTAAGTTCCAGGACTGGGATGGGAGAGGGGGCTGATTGTCAAGGTCAAGTGTAAACCCAAGATTAAAAAGATAGGATTGGGGAAAGGAGATCGCATGGTAACCCCAACCTTACAGGCAGGTTGGGATCAAGGCCTTAGAAGGCAGAGCCCTCTACCCGGTCTGTAAGCACCAGTGATGCCAACTTCTGGCTGTGGATCTAGGTGCACAGGACAAAACAGAGGGAAGCGAAAATCAATGAGGCTGCTGCTTCTGAAACAAGGCTGTAGGGCAGTAACCCCATCCTGTCACTGTCTCTGGTCACAGAACTTGAGAACCACTGAGGCTGCCTCCAATAGGGATCGCGACTCAGGCAAAAAGCTCAGTGAGGTCAAGGGAAAGCGCCCCACACCGCTCCCGTGACATGCTCAGCTGGGGCGTGCAGTCTGGTGTACTGACCTCACCGTGAGCACGTTCTCGCCCCCAGCAGCCTGGCCACCCTCAGAAACAGGAACCGGGGACCAGCGGCTCTCACGCTCTGGGGCCTCCCGCGGCAATGGCACGTGTGGCAAGGGGCGGGCTCAGCCTGCTGGACAGCACGTCTGCAGGTGGTGACCTGGTTCACCCATCCCAGCGCTTCCACACCCAGTGACTTCTCTTCCACAGCTTCATTTTGGAGCCCGGGATGATGGCCTAGGCTGCTTCTGCTAGATCTGTTAATGCCAGTGTGAAGTTTCCAACGAAATAATAAAATAATTACAAAAAAAAAAAAAAAAAGACACATTGCACTCTCCAGCCAGAAGTACGTGTGAATAATAACACACTTGCTGCCAGAAACTGCGAGTCCCATGGGGCCTGCCCAATGCCAAGGACTTGTAAAATGGAGACAGCTTGCCCGGTATTTGTTCTCTAACCCCGTGTTATTTAGTTCAAGTGGGAAATTACCAACACACACACACACTAACTCACTCTCTCTCAACACACAGCCCTCAAAAAAATGAGGGAATCTTAATTATTTAGCAATGTGGATGATTCTCTTTCCAGAGAGCTCTGCATCAAGATTCTCAAAGATTGGACATACAGACGTATATACTCCAAGGAGAGACACCCACACACGGGGGCACGGTCCCACTCTGGGCACGTAGATCCACGTTTGTACAGAAATTCACCAAATGGAGGGGTTGAAGCAGCAAGCATACAGTACTGGAGATGGAGGGGACAAGCCAGCGAGGACATCCCTGGAGCCCTGAAGGGCAGAGCTCCAAGGGCTTGGACCCAGAGACTTCCCATCCTGCTGCTTTCTCGACCTGTGCCAAGTAAGGAGGAGGCCGGCTTGGTACCTGGTGTGGGAAGCTGTCTACAAAGACCTGAGTAGGCCCCTCAGATGCTTCTCTAAGGCCCTCTGGGAACTGTTGGGGTGTTAAGCAAGAGGCAGGGCTCCCTCCTCAGGCTGAAGTCATTGAGATGAATGGGTGGCCCAAGCTTAGCACCAGGCCTAGCTGCAGGCTTGTGGGAATTGGTGTCTCACTGGGGTATGTAGGGCTCAAGGCACCCACATCCCCGAAAAAGATTTGGTTACATCTAGGGTTCCTGCCCATAAACCGAACTGAGGTTACATAGTTTTAAAAAGACTCAAACATACATCAAAAGATCATGGCCCACACATCAGGAGACTGGGGTGAGACAGGGCTGCTGGGGCTGATTTTTTAAGACCGGTCTTTCTGGGCAGCTAGCTGAAAAGCAATGGAAATGAAAACAAGGAACTGTTCCTGGATGCCCTTGCTCTGCTCCGAGGGCTGGGGCCCCAGGAGGTCAAGAGCCCTGTGCCCGCGTCCCTGAATTCCTCCTGGGTGGAGAACACCCAACAGAAAAAGGGGCTGCCTTCTGCCACCTTGCCGGGGGAGGAGGGGTCAAAGATCAACACCCAGAAGGTCACCTGTCTGCTCCACAGCCCCACCTCCTCCTACGGACACACCGGGCCACTGGGTCTCCCACAGCTGTCCCAACGAGCCCTGGCAGCCCTCGGTAATATTGCACTTTTCCTGTCTCTCAGATTGTTTTCATTTTTGATTGAGAATGCAAAGTATTCGGAGGGGTAAGGGAAGTGAGTAACCTTAAAGAAATAATATATTAGTTAAATACAAAAACAAAAAACAAAACAGGAAAAGTAGGGGCTACTTTATCTTTTTCTTTTTTCCTTAAAACAAAACAAACTACCAAACCAAGGTCTAAACTTAAATAGTTCTACGCCTACTCTGCAAATACTAGTAATATGAAAATAATGCTCAACCGAAATTCCCTTGTCTTTCTTCCTTAGATGATAAAAGTTGTAACATGCCTTGCTGAGGAAAGCGATGGATATAAATACCAGTAAAATATGCTGCTCTAACATCTGAAAGTGATTAAAACAATTCTATATAATGCCTTCGTCAAGATGGAGAATCGAGAGTAAGAAAGAGAAGCCTCTGGGGCCAGGCTAGGGGTGGAGTGCTGAGGTTGGCGAGGCTGGCAAGGCAGGGCCCAGCCACAGCCAGGGGCAGATGGCACGCTTGCCGTCCAGAGTTGCCCCTTCCAGCTCCCTCCTGCTGCCCCTGGCATCCCCTGGCCTTGTGGGAACAGCGTGGCAGGGCCAGGGACCCCAGCCAGGCCCGCTGTTTCAAAGTGGGAGAGAGATGAAGACATTTTTTCCCCCTTGTAATGAAAGAAAAAGGTCTTTAAAAGAAAAAGCACCAAATGATGCATCTTCAGGCATTATATAAAGCTCAATAATGACCTCAGAAGGGCTCATTGTGATTAAAGTTGCAGTATACAGCAATACAATGCCATTTCACATTTTCAATCGTAACTAATGGGAAACTGGGTTTGGACACTGCTGAGATTTCATTTTTCTTTTTCCTTTTTCAGTCCGATCTGGTTTTCCTCCAGATGGGTCAGAGCCGCAGGCCCCTCCCTCCTCCACCTGCTGCCGGCGGTACCCTCCAACAACACAAAGCAGCTCAGTAGCTCTAGGGAAAGGCCCTCTTGCCCTGGGTGGGGCTGGGAGTCCAGGGGCACAAGGCCTGGCACCCCCTGGCCGTGTCTGAGAGGGACTGGCATGCACCCTTCTTGCTTCAAGTATTCATATTCTCTTTGGGTTTGCAGGGTTTGTGCTGTGTTGTGAGTCAGGGGGTGATGGTGAGGGGGTGAGGTGCGAAGACGGGGCATGGCAATCCCTGTTCACTGCCTAAATCTACATGCTGTCACCAGGTGGCAGCATTCCCCACTTTTCCTAGATGCCTGAGCAACTCCCAGCCATCCTGAGAGGGCTGGATGTCACAATGTAAACATGATGACCACGCGATAAATGACCACGCGATAAACTACAATGGGGTTGGGAAGGAGTGCAA